CGCCTCATGTGGATCACGATCTAACCTCATCATTCAGGGCTGGGTGTTCAACCGCCTTTAAAAAGGTCGGGAAATAAACCCATGGTTTTTGGGAGCACCCTTTTTCTCCCATTTCGTTTTTTAGGATGCGATGTGAGAATATTACTGCCTGGACGGTATTTCTACTATATCTCGAAGACCACACCAACAGTTCCATGTGTATACTCAAGAAAAATAGGACTAGACACGTGAATGTTGCGATCGGTATCAACGTCTACCATTTTTGAAGATTGCGTATATAGCAGAATTTAATGGAACCATAAATTTCACGAGCGCTCATCAGCTGCATCCACTCGTTGCAAAAACTGAGTAACGAATAAGAAAATACAGAATTGAATTCATACAGAAAAATCGATACAAAAACATCAAGGTCACAAGAATTGGCCAAGGGGCAATCAATAAAGTAGGAAATTTAAACGCTGTGGCGAGCAAAAAACGGTGTAAAAACGTCTAAGGCAAAAAAGTTGGGAAGGGGAATGTGTAAACAGGGAGCCGGTGCTATCACGCAATCTTAAAATTTGTATCTGGGAAAAGATGCTTCAAGTCTACCATTTTGTCAATAGAACCAAGGAGACGAATACCAGTTTTTACAGGCAAATTAAAACAGAGTATGGCAAAAATGGAGACAGTTTATTGTATATACCACCTCTGTTTTCTTAAATTTGTAAGTAGTGATACAGTACTGGAGAAAAATAAAGTGGCAGAAAAATAGTCAAGGATAGATAAAAGAAGACGAATTGATCAGAAGTCAGTTATACCACGCTTACGACCGAATAAAAAGTCGTATAATCCTTTAGGGCGCTTCATGCGGACAAATTCGAACGTAAAATTGATAGATTGGATATTAAGTGGTTGCGAATCGTGATCCGGACAAATCTACTGAACTTGATAATTACATTTTATAGGGTAATCGATAAAATTAAGCACGCGTCACAGACAACCACAGGTCTGAGCGAGGCTTTCCACGAGCGCACGCAGACATACTTGATATGCAATCTATTTGGCTTATCAAAAAATTAGATCAGAGCAGAATATTCATGAGGCAGCGCAAAAAATGCTTTAGCTTTAGCAGGATCACGTATTTGTAGAAGTAAAATCGGAAAATGTTTTTCTTGAGGATGCAGAAGAAAGTGCAAAAATGTAATAACATGGTCAAAATTACATACTGAAAATGAACAGCAGGAACCAAAGGTCCCACATATGACGTAGATTGAAAGAGGTCAACATAAAATGGTTTTTGTTGCAGATTTTGGTGAGAGTTTTTAGACTCAGAAAGGCATACCACCACCGCTACTACCAAATGGACAAGAAAAAAAAAACGACAGAGCAACAATGAAAAGCAAATAAAGAGGTACAACTTTCGTTGGGATCTGTGTCTGATCTGGGTCTCTGTGTGCGGTGTCAGGGCGATTTTCAATCTGCCACATTTTTGGAATGTCCAAATATTGTTAAAAACAGCACAAAATGAAAAAAAATCTACCAGCGATGTTTTCATACCTTTAGTTGCCGGAGGGTGAAATCTTTTAAAGTATCCAGTTTTCAAGAGTAGGCAGACGAAACCCCTGTATTAATGGCTGTTAGCACGTTGTGCTGAATTAAGTCGTTTCGCAAAAATATTTTTCTAGGCCTCATAAGCCTTATTTTAGCGTGAAAAAAAAACTTTGTGAAGTGTCTGAATAGGGGAAGAATTTCAGAATTCTACGTACGCTTTTATGTAGCTGTTGTACAGACATAAATAGCTTAGTAGATGTACTTACTCGGCAGGAGTTCCCTGTCTGTGGCCTCCGTTGACTGTGGATAAGGGTAAAAGAGGTTACCCTTTTCCAGAGGGTACGGTATCAGCCGAAAGGTGCCCTCCCAGGTGCAGTGCAGCAAGTTCAAGGCGCCTTCGACGGCCTTCCAGTGAGCCAAATGGAAGAAGGTGTAGGCGATGGCTTCTGAGTCACCCCTCTTTAGAATGTGCTCCGTGGGCAGTAT